ATTTAGAAAAATTGGTAAATAGCATGCCACGTAGAGTTTGTGCTGTAATTAAAAATAAAGGAAACCCCACAGAATATTAATCTAAAATTCAAAAAGTTCATATTTAGGCGAGTTTATTGATATAAAGTTTATCATGTGTTGTTAATGTTGTTGTTGTATAATGTCATTTCGAATTCCAAGCGTTTTTGATGATGATCGTCATGTGACCAATACTTTTGGTCAGTATGTGTACGTAGATTAAACCCCATCAATTTAAGTACTCTTGTGGTAACATTTATCGTTGTAATAGGTTTAAGCTTACTATTCTAACAAATCACTTCCTTTGATGTTTTATTTTATGCTCCTGCTATCGTCGAAAGACGGTTATTTATTACGCTTGCAAGTCAAGCTCAAATATCTTGACAGGTTCAGACACTGACGAAAATGTGAAGATGATATAATCCCATAGACCTTTGCCTTATAGATATTTTACGTAGGCGTGCTCTTTTTTAAAAGACAAAAGAACGCCATTGCGCACGCTTAAACAACCCGTACTCATATGTGAAACTCCGTCAATCACAACCGAATGACTAGAAAGCAGGCTGATATTAATTTCAAGGAGTTGTCAGTAAACTTGGGCAGAACAAAGATAATCTATTCTTTTCTATTAATAGCCTAGATAAGCGATTCATGAAATTCAATTGTGTTTCACTTTCTTATCATTGATAGACTTTTGGTAATTCTCGATATATCTACAAACGTTTTGAACAATGTTAACATTATTTTTAACATTATTAACAATACATTGGGTTTGTCTGCATGTTTACTTTCGTGGCTTTTTTTTTGTGGATCGGTCGGCAAAAAAAGAAAAAGAAAAAGAGGGCTCATTCTGGGATTATCACATTGCAATAATCCCGTGCATTACTTGTGATAAAATGGAAGCAAATAGTGACAATCCCGAAATGGCTAGCCCGTTTTAGAATGGGCCAATTCCCAGAATGGCCATTATGTCGTGTCATCATATAAATCCCGACGATCCCCTAAAAGTTTTTGACAACTATCACTGCTGCAGGCATGAAAATATGTATGAGACACACTGTAATAGTAGTTACGACTAATAAAATCTCCAATTCATAAAGATGTTAGAAACATGGTTATCAAGTCTTTGAACTAAGATTCTATTTGCGCACCTTTTACCAAACAAAACGTAACGAATTGGAAAATAAGGAGAAACTGCTCAACATGGTCTTGCTCGCCTAGCATAACATTGTATAAGCATGCATATTTTGTGAGCGGCGAAATGCAAAATGGTCAATGTGTTCGATTAATTTAGAAATACGCTGTAGATCATGCAATCATTTGGCAACTCTAATTCCGAATTATTTATTAGATTATAAATACTGCGGTAGTTAGAAATTACATAGACTTTTGTCATAAAACTTTGTTAGCTGTATGCCTTATATCCTGTTTATTAAAACGAATATTACTCGCCAAGAAGAACATGTTTTACGTACAACGGAGCGATATAATTCGCTGAAAATATTTATAATGGAGCGATATAGCGCTGAGAAGACCGATGTTCGAACAAGAGTTAAAGATGTTGCGTTAATAATATTATTTGTACCAAAGCAGGGCGAGTCTTTTCGCCGGCTCGTAATGTAGTGATTTCACTTCGTTGGCAAACATTTAGTAACTTTCTTAATCAACATGAAGAAGGCCAATACCGATGATGTTAAGTGAAAGAGAGTTAATTTTATCATTATCTCCAGTGCGTATAGAAGAAGTATTACGGTCCGAGGCTTACATATACGGTTGGATAAAAAAACGAATTATCGTTCGCCGGAGCTTATCTCATTTAACATATCGAAGAAGTAACTCAACCTTTACATACATTGTCATTTTCACCAACCTCTGAGTATGGATAACGTCTCACCTGGGTACGGGTGAGTGGGAATTTCTCTTACTATTGCGGGATATTCGACTGTTAACTTCCTCAACCATTGAGGGCGTTCACAACTATATTGCTGGATAACTCACTGAACCGGAAACTAACTACGATATCATTTAAAGATATTGTTAGCCTATGATCATGTTACGTTTTTACGAGTTTACTTGTATTCGTTGCGACTAGGTTATACTCGACGCCAAGCGATGAGTTAATACTTAAATCGTTGAACTAAGAAAGAGTATAAGATTTCGATATGATGCCAAGCAAAATATCAATAACACTACGCTCATTGGGTTAAGCTTCCATGAATCTTAGAAGGAATACGTAGAGAGTATCGTTATCGTGACGGCTCGTATGCGGCTATTACAATTATGATTTGTATAATCGTTAGCTCACAATGAACTTGGGAATAGCCCATCCCTAAAAACGTGACTTTACTGCGGTTTATCACAAAAACCGGAGCTCCGAATGTATCAGAAACGAAACTTTTGCAATTATATAAATGCACGTGACAACTTCAGTATATCTAGATAAATTATTCTTGTCAGTTAGTCAAAAAAATCCGGCTTTTCTATGACGTCCAGTAAATTGCTATAAATTTCGGCTTACCCTATAACAAAAGTTTAGAAAATCAGAAGAAAAAAAGAAGAAGCAATTTCGGCTTAGCGTGGCTTTGTCTTAACATGTTTGCCTTGTATTAGTTTTTGATGTGTCTCTTTTGGGGGATTAGACGTTGCTAAGCTGATAATGGAGAATTGTTTGTTGCTGTACCTCGACCGATTGCAAAAGGGCGGGAGAGCAAACAACAGGTATGTATATCTTTAATCGCGTTCACCGAAAGGGTAACTAATCGAAGATAAGGACGTGTTTACGATAAACAACGCATTACTTTATTTATTTGCAAATAATTTCGATATTCGTTACACACTGTAGCATTATCATTACGCATTCTTTAATATTACCGTTACTGTTACAAGGTAAAGTTTATATTACGTGAACAACATTCGTACCCTCCTTAAATTCAAGTTTTATATTTCGTTACATGACAGTCGAAATTTTACATGGATAATAAAAAGTTGCCCAAGTAAATACTTCAACTTTGCCGTAATACTCTCTTTTACTTTACATGATACAAATAATTAACATATAAACTCAATCCATTTCTAATTAATTAATTCAACGAGTCATCTCAATTTAAACGTTTGTATCCTTCTCACCAACACCCCTCACAGCATTTTCATCTTCTACGATGTTGTCTACGCTTACAACGTATTCCTTTAAAAATAGTTCCAATGCAAGCTGTCTTTGTTCCATGGTCGCAAATTTCTCGTCGATTGAAAGACCTTTTGACAATACAGAGTCTGAGAATGGAATATTCGGACGTAGACTATCGCGGAGACCAGCCTTAACTCTGCCGCGAACGCACGGCAAATTTTGGACAAAACCCCATGGATCGATTGCATCGGCGCCTGTGAGAAAAAAAACAAGAGTAATCAATATAGACGCGTAACAAAACATGTATACTCGACAGAAAGCAGAGTAATAAATTCAAGGAAGTGAATAGAATTTCGTTCACAAACCGTATAAGAACGCATAGATTCCCATTGCAGTAGCGTATATACCACCCACAGCACTGAGGAAATCGATTACTGAAGAATCACTAGTAATTAAACAACGTCGCATATTAGTATAAGGCTTTCAATAAAATTAGCAATGCTCCACGTGTTTTAAACGTCCGTGTATACTCACGAGTTTTCTGTTTCTGTCACGACTATATAAGATTTGGGTCTTATTCTTAGAGTCACGTAATTTGTGTCATCAGGCGGATAAGGTACTAATAGCAGATTTTTCGATTAATATACGTGTATATATCCTCTCTCGATAAAATAAGAATTACTCAATTAAAATAACTAAAGCATATTCATTATTTTTAGCTTACCCAATATGCTGTCTATCAACGTTATTTTCCTATGGTCACCTTGTCCAGCAAGTCTGTTAACGTCATTTTGCCTAAGACGATTAAATATTTTGCGTTCGTAAAGAAAATCATACGACTAAGTTACATAGGGGTTGTTAATTATTAGCATATTGTAGACATTATTAACATTTATTTGATATCTTCGAATCCACAATTACCTGGTTTTTGCCAAAAAAGTACGTGTTACCAGAATACGCTGTAGATTCGTAGTCACTCAATCCTTTAAACCGCGGTTTTTTGGCGTATGCTTTTGCCAAATCAACTTGTGTTTCTAAAGGGTTCAATCGGAAGTTAGAGAGTGTAACCACATCATTCACGTGACTTTAGAATAACATACCTTTGTCAAGAAACGTTGCAAACAGGAAAGCATCAGTATTGGCACCAAATGTTTTATCCGTTATAGAAATCGTCATGTCAAGTTCTTCTAAGAAGTTTTTATTGACGTTTTTATTGACGTTTTTATCGTCGTTGTGATCAAGAAACTCCAAGTCGGATCCATTGAAACTTGCATAGTACAAGCTGGCGTCTGGATCAAACTCAGTGCTACTGATATATTGGTTACAAGTAATATTTGTGCCTAAATACAGAAAACACACGCATTAGGACTGAAGGCAAATAAAGTTATTCAAGTTTGCTACTTTGTTATGTATACAGTATATATACCATCATTATAGAATTGAATGCAGTCGACAGCGAAGTTATAGAAAGCAGTAAAATAGGCAACTACAATAAAAAAGAGAATGGGTTATTAATATTAGATTCAGAAAATTAATTTTTATGGATTAGTAAAAAATCACATACTCGGTGAAGGAACACCAACACTATCATCTTGTCCATAGGTTAAAGTTCTCTCGTCTTGGGCCAGTTTATACGCTTTCCAGCAAAAAAAGATTGCTACAGATACATAACAAATAAGCAAAAACGACATTCTCATCCATCGGATAAAAGGAATCTCAGAACGACGTGGAGGGATTTGGTCAGAGAGCACATCTTTTACTTTCTTTTTTACTGTATTCATTATGGTGGAAATCAAAGGATGCTAATATGGGTATAATTTAGATCGTAGAGCCCAACGAAAAAAAATTTTTTGTTGGACGTGATAAACCCTTTTGCGTTAATGATATTTACAACTAGAGAGAAAAAACGGCAGGTATTTATTGTAATGATATCTACACCATGCTTGCTTGTTGTACATTTCTGTGATCATTTTGTCCCACAAAAATTCGATGGTGTTTCCATGCTACATATATACACGCTATTATTTTGATACTTTATGGTAATACAGCATATTCTGCGGGTAGCCATTCATCAAATCATCATTAACACAGGTGGACTAATTTGGACTAAGTGTCGAAAAAAAACGTCGGAATTTAATTGTTCGATTTCTTACATAAAATATGCCTTTACTATTTTATATGCATGCATTTTCCTTTCTTGGGAAATAAACCGATTGGACTGAATACATTCAGTGATACATTACTCCATTTCCGGTTTGCACAGAACATTTTGAGCAAGTGAAAAACAATCTACACATTTTCTGACGATTCGGTCATTCAACGTTAATGAAGTACGCTTTTACATTGTTCGTCTGTTAAAGCGTTTTCTGATGCATTAAATGTACGGTATATCAGGAAAATAATGTCCCAAAGTTTCGGATGATTCTTTAGCTTTGTTGACCACATAAAGCTGTTGATTCTCCGCAGTACGGAAATTCACTGATGATCGATAACCAATAAGAGTTAATATACGCACCTGTGGAATTACTGCGGGTATAAATTTATGTATAATGCTCCTACTATCGTCGAAAGATGGATATTTCCATCATGTCTTGCAAGTCAAGCATTAAATGTCTAGACAGATTCGATGCTTTTTTACAAAAAAAAAAAAAAAAAAAAAGACACTATGAAAATATGAAGATGGTACTGTATATGGTATCAATCCTATAGACCTTTGCGTTATAGATATTCTACGTGCTTTTTTCATTATTATCCAAAAAGACAAAAAGAAAGCCATGAATAGGAATAGTTAGAAAAGCTTGTTTCATGTATGAAACTTTGTCAATGGAAGTTGCTATCAGTTAACAGTGGTGTATTGATTTTTGGGCAGAATAAAAGTAACCAATTCTTTCCCTTAATAGAAGATAAACGTTTCATGGAATTCAATTCCGGTATATCTACAAACATGTTTATGAAGTTCTAAATATATGGTATGTTACTACGCAGTATCAATAATTTTGACTTGACTCGGATTACTAATACAATCGACCCTCTCCAACCACCTCTTTAATATCGACATCTCTCTCTATTAGCAACATTAGTTTAGAACGGATTTCCCTTTATACGCATAATTCTCTCTCACATGTCAACTTGATATTATACATAAATCGGATTTTATATGTACGTCGCTGATATCAATATCAATATCAACCAGTATTCTAAATTTAAACTTCCGGATATGATATATCGCATGTGGTATAGTTTGCCTTTTACTAAAAATGGAACATAAGGAAAGATTAAGAGAACTATTATTTGGCTACAACAATATAACGAGAATAAACAGATAACAGCGACTATGACCTTCGAACAGTTTAAATTGCTGATACAGTAAATTTTACCGAAAGTTCCTACAATATATTTTGTGTATTAGTAAACTCTTAAGGAATTGTGAGCGCTATTTTTTCATTAGTAAACTCTTAAGGAATTGTGAGCGCTATTTTTTCATTGAAAATAGGAGAACGTAACATATGGTTGCATACTTTTAATTACAAACACCAGTAATCGTTTTAAACAAGTTTGATTAACTAATCTTGGAAACTTGTACATGACTTGCACAGTCATCAACGAGAAAAGCTGATCCGTATACGTGTCTTGACGATCGCTTAATTGGGAAGATTGGCGCTATGGCATTATATGCTTATTTGCAGAAACTGAAAGCGTTTACCGATGGACGAGGAAGTTTAGTCTTGATGATACGATAAAGACATCAGTTAGCGAGGAAAAGCAGGTTTTTATTGTACACATTATCACTGTTGGTCACTAAAGAAAATTTTGTCAAAATAGCGGCCTACTTGTTATTTCGCAAGTAGGCTCTCTTTCCATTGCAAGTATCGTGACTTTTGACAGTCTATATTATTGCTTGTCGGTATTATATCGGTTTTCTGGTTAGGTGTAATCTATCATTAACTATCTAAAAAGTTCATTGTCGTGTCATCAATTACTTGCTGCGCAGTTGTGATTTGTTTATCAACTCGTTACATTTTCTTATTCTCCATTCGCATGAATCCGCATATTCACATATTCTATGGCATTATGAAAATACAAAATCAATCATATGTTATACGTTATTTGGTCAATAATAAAAAAATTCAAGACACATCCAACGTCATGTAACTGTTCTTCCATGCATATTTATATCCATAATACTCGCCTCACTCTCAACTAACAAATTTACTCACCCACATTTCCAAGCTTCTTCAATATCAACTCCCTCGGGTTTCCTCGTTCCTTTCCAGTATTCGCATGCTCTTCTCAGATTTCTATCCAGTTTAACTTCATCATAGGTCAAAAACACACTTCCGAGGTTGCTTCCATCTTTTTGATATCGATAGGAGATTTCTAATTGGTCATTTAATTTACTGAAATGCCTAAACTCTTTTTTTACCGTCTTCATCAATTCGCGTAATGTAACGAATGAACCATGCGATTCGACGGCATAATCTGAATCACTATCATCACGGTACTCTTCGTCTGAAGACACGTCTCCAACCAATCCAACAATGCCGTCTGAGAGCGAGGCGTCTGGATCAACGGCCAATTTCTCATACATCAAATCTTCATCAAAATTTCCTGCTATCATATCATCAAACAACTTCTTATACAGCATCACCTGAATCTGAACGGACGGTTGAACATTCGAAGCAGATGGTATATACGGTCGAGTACGTGTTTTAGTATCTGATAAACACCAAGAGTATTCGCCATCTTTTTCAAATTGATGCCATTTATCATTGGGCTTGGCCCTTAATGTCCGCCGGCGTTTATTCTGCTCTGTTGACTCTGACTGAGAAGCTTTTGATTTTTGTCTTCCGACAATTTCATCAATGATACCGACTACGAAAAATTCATCTACAAAGCCAAATACAGGAAGTTCACGTGTTTTCCCAGTGAGTCGGAGGGTTTGTAGTCCTTCGATCAGATTATGTAATCTAACAAGTTCGAACGTGGAATCATACAAGAGGAAGAAAACAAGAGAGGGAGAAAAGGCGATAACTGATAGAAATAAATAATAGTACTACAATTGGTTGATATGAATCAACCCCATTTAATATTGATGCTTACACGCACCAACAGCTTTCTCAAAAGACCCCTCCCCTCGTCTAGCACCGAACAGTTCATTCATTCCATGAAAATCTATCCCATACCTAACTCCCCAGGCATCCTCAACGCTTGCAACATCGACATTGACGATCTTATGTACTTCCAACTCTAACTGAAAATGTATATCTCTTCCTGTAGTCATAGCCTGTGTTTCCGCTCTGCCACCACTTGCCAATGAGTAATCAAACTGCTGTTCACACCATGCTAACGACGCAATGTCAGTCACTACGAGAAAGTTTTTATACGAGCGATATCGGGAGAACGGTGACGGTGTCGAAGTCAGTGACGAGGACGAGGAGGGCGAGGAGGGCGAGGAGCGAGTACTGACATTGTTAGGAGAATTTTCATTATCATGAGAAAGAGCTTCCGCGCATTGGAATGCCTCTTCCCAGGCTTCTGGATAAGTGTTGCAAAAGTCGTAATCAGGTGAGCGTGATTCGGACAAATGCTCGGTGGATATGTCAGGTGGAGTCGTAACTTTGGACAGCGTTGTTTGTATTGAAGACGTGCTTGCAGTCATTTTCGCAAAATAAATTGTGCGAGTTGATCGAAAAAGAAAAACGTTGGTCTATTCAGAACACGTGCAGTGTGTATCACGCGTCTTGATTGATTTACAAACTTGGCGACTGAGCGAGATTGCTAATAAAATTGTTAGCATAGAACGCCGTTCTTTTATTAGTTTAAGTACCACAAGAGAAAGTCCGCATCTTCTCAATAAGGCTTACTATTTCATTAGCTCGACAGGTATTAATATTATTAATATTAACCCACAACCGAATTCGGCCACCTTCTCTGCTGCTAAAAATTAAAGAAACAACAGATGGTAACGGCAATGGCATTAAAACCACTGCTGACTCCTTTCATTAGCCACAGCATTGCCCTTCTTTGAATTATTAGCGTGTAAAAGCGTCTTTAATTAAAGTCGTGATTATTCATCGAAAAGAGCATGTCATAAGAGTCCGCTAATTTCTACGACAGTAGTGAACAAATAATGTTGCTATCCTTCTAACACATTAACTGTTAACATTACTAGACTCGTTCAACTAAACAAACTGCTCTAATCAAAGCTGGTGAAATTTAGGTTTGACATAATTAGTCGTAGGACCGAAATTGGTAATAGTAATTTATCACAGACGTAACACGATTTGACCTATTAATATCAATATTTAGTATTAGTGTTTCATGATTAGATTTTATTTGGAAATGAGTTACGTTTCTAAATTTAGAATATCTCAGAATAGATTTTTGTTACTATGTGTAAAGAAACTACAAATAGTCTCATTGTAGGGCGTAAACTGGTTTAATTCCCATCTTACCCGAGATGTCTACGAGACAAGCCCAGTCCAAATCACATGCCAAACCGTTAATACTTATATTGGCATTGACGATAGTATGCGTTACGATACTAGTTGAACTGAAGGCATTGGTAGCCGGTAAGATTAACGAAAACACTTTGAAAAAAGTTTTTACGAGCTTCACTAATATATTCATGCTACGGCATGCACTATATTTATTTATTCCTTTATCCTTTGCATAGTGGACGTTGGCATTAGGCATGACCATACATCACATGTCTCTCCGCCGTTCGTCGTTGTCACTGGTGCCAGTGGCAACCATTTCTGCCCATTGCAAGCATGGGTAATCAGCCTCCATACCCAAGTAGCTACTCTTCCGGTCCACCGTAGACCCCGAATAATAGTTTATGATCTGGGACTATACGATGAGCAAATCAAGACACTGAATACAATGCGATTAAGCGGAATGTTTCAAGAACTTCGTAAACTTGAATGGTCCGATTATCCACCCTTCTGGAACATAACAATTAATGCAGGGGAATACGGATGGAAGACTGGCATAATAGGCGAGGTAGTCAGAGACTATCCGGGCATAGTCGTGTGGTTGGATTCGGGTACATTGATACAACCAGATTTCTTTTCTCACGTTGATCTTGTATCATCGGAGTATTCCGGATTTCTATCTCCCAAATCGTCATCTACTCTCCCTCGTTGGACGCATCCTGGTGTGTTTGATTATTTCAACGACGATCCGAAAAAGTACAAGCGAGTTCATAATTGTAATGCTGCAGCAATAGTGTTTGATTATAACGTTCGGAAACATCTGGTAGATGAATGGGTTAATTGCGGAAGGGTGAAGAATTGTATTGCACCCAAGGGAAGCAGCAGAGAAAATCATCGACAGGATCAGGCGTTGCTGACTTATTTGGCAGCAAAAGACGGTGTATACTGTACAGAAAGTCAGACCGCGTTCGGGATTAAAGTACAGCGTGACGCCAAATGTCATAGGATTATATATACATGGAATAATAATAAGGCTGAGCACAACAAGACAGATGAACCAAGCAGTACCCGGTAATTAATATAGCTATGAGCATGAGACTCCATTGCTCTCACGCGTTGTATAGAGTATTCTGTGATTATAATGTAAATTGTGAAAATAGTGGTGGTTGAACCATTATTTACTTTTGTGATGAACTGTAGGGATACGTACAATATTACTATTTAATAGACTATGAATTTCATGGATGCTTTTCTATTGGGTATACATACTTTAACACTTGTTAGAAAAGAGTATTGACTCAAATCTCGATATTATATAACAAAGCATTAAAACTATTAATTTTCGATGAGTAACTCGCTTGACAATTTTACACTGTTGCGATCAGAGAATGTTGACAACTTTGTTTCAGCGGACCCAGTTAGCTTTAACGAGATAACCCGAATGCTGAATAAATATGCTTTGCGTAACATTGCCTATACTGGCTTCGGAGAATATTCAAATTAGTATCATAATTAGTCTAACAATTTCAGGAATGCGTGTCGTCGATGGGTCAAGTTTGACATCTCTGATTGGATACCTATAACGTTATCGATATACTAAGAGGTTATCGTAATAAGCTTCACAACGGACATGTTAATATACGTTCCGCTTATATCCTTGATTTCTATCATAATAATATTAAGTATGAACATAAGTATTATTAAATTACCATTAATATTGACAATAGCATAATATTACCATGTGTACATTGTAGGAATAATCTATATTACTAGTATGCTGGGTAATAAGCTGTCCCACAGTATATCCTTGGAGTAGAGGCAATGCGGGGAGACAGTCCTTTGCATACTATAGAATCATGTTCATGTTAATATATTATATCAGAAAATTTCCATCCTCGACAAGAAAAAATTCAACACCGTATTGTGGTAGATCTAACAAGAATTTCCTTACCAGACCTTTTGTTCTCTACAATTCCATAATTAAGCCAGTTTCTCAGGATGCCAGCGTGACAGATCGGGTTTTATGGTGATGTTAGTTAAAACCGAATTTATGTCGATCTAACTGCTTTGTTTTCTTAGTCAACTTGTAATATGGAAAAATTCATAACTTGTCGATTGTATTACACATACATTTTTGACAGAATGACACCCGAAAATAGAATATAATCCATAAAGATTAAAAAGGAAACAGTGTATAGAAAAAATTCCAAGACGTCAATCGAAGTTTACACGGAACGTGTACAGAATATCTGCAGTTTCGACAAGACAACTTGTAATAAAATATCAAGCAAGTAAGGCACCATAATAAAGATTTGGAACAGAAAACGATGCCATATTGTGGCATCATACTATAATTGCAGATAGCATACGTTTGATTTCTTTATATTTAGATGCTTGTCGTTGGCACCTAAACTGGCAAGAAAAACGCGACAAAAAGTTCACGACGCTTTTATTTTATTTTGCAAATACAATGATTAAAATAGTCAATTCCCATATTGACATTTTGCAAGACGAGTCGAACTCTCGGATTTTTTAGCAAGCAATAAATAGACGTAATCGACAGGCCATCCAATCAAACAAAGGATGCCTTGAAGAATTAATATTAATAGGAGCAGTTCCGTAGCATGCATGTAGTTAATATGATCCAGTCAGCCAAAGCTTGTTGCAGAAAAAAAATTAATTTGTAAATAAATGAGTCTTAAAGCTTTAAATGAAATTGTGAATACAGTTCCTTTGAGACCCTTCACGCGTTAAAAATGACGTCTACGTTCATCCTTCTCATCAGTAACCTATTATAGATGTATATAAGCTCAGCAACAATAAATCTCGAACAACACTCACGACCAAACTATTTCAACAATTCGCTCATAGTCAGTTAACGTGGTGAAGATGGTTTTTCGCTTGTTCGCAGTATCAAACTCTAAAATTTGTCTAGTTTATTATGAAATAAAGGAGCCATCAAGAATATTTATTTGAAAAAAAAAAAAAAGGAAGATGGAAATGGAGATTGTATATTCAATTGAAAAAAAAAAAATCTAGAAAAAATTTTTTACAGGAAGTAATACTTCAACTGACCCAAGCATCATAATTTATCTTTCGCTCTACTTTCAAATGTAATTAAAATTGGGGCAAAAACCAACAAAATATTTCACATAATTTGGTCTAGTTTGATCCAAGTAACAATACTACAAATCAAAGAATTAAACTGTTCCCCAACCCAAACGCGCTCTAAACCTTCATTACTGTCTTTGTATCCACCATCGCTCTCTTTCCCTTCTATCCACCTAACATCAATGTAACAGATTCGTCGAAACCTGAATCCATCCTTACCCGCTTTCTCTTCTCATACCATTGGTGTTTGCGTTCTTTTCCTTTGAGTAACGCCAACTCCTTTACAATCTCCTCCCGTTCTCTATCCAACTCCTGCAATGCTAAAGTAGCCTTTTCCAACCCAGCAGCATCTCCTTGATTTTCTTTTGTCTTTTTGAACTCCAGGGTTGCCTCTCTCTGCGCATCTTTTGCATTTAACTTTCTCTCTAATTCTGCAATCCTCGCATTTCGAGACTCACTCGTTTGCGTAGCATATGCATTACGCTTCGCTCGTAATGATTCACGAGAAATCTTCCGACCCGGTTTGGGTGCGTTTGGGTTTAGTTTCGATCGTGATTGTCCACGCTTATAGGTATAGCCTTCGAGCAAAAGTTTGGCTTTCGCCTTTTCGAATAAATCGCCTTTGTTTGCAACTAATGCTGGATCTGATAGGGCTAGTTCTATTGCTGCTTTGTTGATTGCTAACTCGTACTGTGTAAGTTGGCGATTGCTGCGCTTCCCATAGATTGTGGCATGATGAATGATAATGTCACGAGTCGTGGAAGAAGAGTTGTAGAGTGTTGTTGCTGCAAGAGATGGGTGGATGGACGACTCGGCTGAAGTGGGACTGGACAGTGACGGTGAAGCTGAAGTTTGAGAGGACGACGGTGAGACTTGAGTTCGTACGGATGCGGGTATTGATGTGGTGGTTGCGGCTGGAGATAGTTGATCAAGTGACGATGTCATCATTGCTTTCGTTAGCGATGGTGAGCTAGCAGCTGAATTTGGGGTTGATGGAGCTATCAGAGGTGACTCGTGTTGTGAAGTCTGTTGACAGTGCATGTGCTGCGTTTTGTTTGGCTGGTTTGGTAGGAACATGTGTAGTGGTGACAGTATAAAATAATAAAAGAAAAGTCAGTTTCTAATAAATTCCATACTTACAAGCGATTGTAACGTCACTCCCTGCAAGTTAAATAGATCAACTAACCAATGGAGTCGGCGACACCATGTGCAAGTCCCTAACGTTCGCATTCAATATTCGTTCTCCACCTTCTCCGCTCCTACCCTCTCGCAACACTCTCAGGCCTTTCTTAAACGCCAAAAAATGCATCAACTTCATCTCAAGCTCAGTCATAATCTCCTTCAAATCTTGCTCATCTAATTCAACCAACTGACTAACGTCATTTTCACAAACGCCTGCTTCTACGAAACTTCTGTGGTACTGTGTGAGGTTTAGTTGTTGGAGGAATTCCGATAAAGTTGGATATTGTAAAGAAACTGCATGATCTCCGGTCGGTGTCATGTATTGAGATGCCTGATTGGAAGAGAACGAGAGAATTGTTAGGGTTTTGATCGAACGAAATGAAAGAATGTTGAAAGACCTGCCTCGGTGGTTTGTTTTGTAGGTGTGGTGGTCATGTAATCTGTAACATGGTTTTCTGAATCAGCAAACATTGTGGCGATTCCTACGCTGACACTTGAGTTTTACGTACCTAGCAGAAAGGAACAACGTAGACGCGTGCTACTGAGCTGTTCAAGTTGTTGTATCGCGGACAGTCAAACGCTCTGACGCTCTTTATGGAGTGATGAAGAGTGTTTGGGTGATGGGGGGAGGGAAGTTATTTTGCCTGCTGATCTCCCACCCTACCCCCCAAGAGTAGGGGGGTGCGCTGATCAATGATTATGGCTTTTCACTGGTTCACATGTTCCATTCTGACGGCATACTGGCGGTGATGATGTAATCCATTATCACGTGATAGTTACAAAGTAAATAAGCTAACAAAAGATGTAAAGGAACCTGTTGTCGGATCGATACACGTGGGAGAGCGTTCGTATATCGACCTTGAGAGTTAACACCATCCAACGGAACTCTTGACTATTCCTACTACTGTTAAACCTTTAAACGACAATGCAAATGATTTTCGATGCTCTTGTATTAGTCGTTCCTAGATTACTCGAGTTCTTACGTCTACTTGGTTTTTTTTTTTACTCTCTTTTTCCAACTCTAAGACCGCATAATCTAACACTCTCATTTTAACCTGTAATTTAGTTTATTATTATCAATTGGAGTTTAACTTTAATTCTAGCATTTCTTGATTGTGAATTTTTCTCTTTCAGTTAATTTCTGTAACTGCTGAACCTTGGCTTTTAATCTCTTGAAAATGTTTGCTTAGTTAAAGTCTTATTTTCTTCTTTAGTTAAATTAGGTAGACTTACTATATTTGTTATTATTCCTCCGCAGTCAAACAAACCACTAATTTTAGTCCAGATTGAATTAGTAATAATAATAGCGACAGGCGCAGCAGTAGCAAAAACGTTTCGAAAAATCAGTGACAATACAAAACGCTATTAATTTAGTAGTGAAAAAGCGTTACGGTTTTTCAGTGATGCTCGAAGATATATAAGTAGCTCATATTCCATCGCCAAATCTCCATTTTGTCCATGTTGTGAAAACATCAAAAGTTCGAATATCGTTGTGAAATAAAATAATACTATTGATATTAGTAGTGTTCTCCCGAAAAATCCTTTATTATAAATATGCATTTAATTTCTATCGTCGAAATAATTGATTATTAGGCCGGACACTCCAAGAAACGGCTCACTTAAGCTGTAACGGAATAGCATTGATTTGGTCAAGCTAGTAAGCTGTCCGTGTATTAATTACGTGAATAATGAAACGAGAGTTTATAATTAATTATCGAGATGAATATTGTTTAATTAGTTTAGTAAAAATAAGTGACGGATACCGACTAGTCGACAAACAAATCGAAGACAGCCCTGTTTAATTTTTTTAAAAAAAAGCATTATTCCTCTTCGATTCTTTAATAGAATAATTGTTGTTATTATTCTATTAGAGGTACCTTTATTTGTATTTGAAGCGCGCATAATGAAAATAGGTCACTTGAGGCTTGATTCAGTCTAAATTGCACAACTATCGTAGTGAGGGCGATAGTACGAGCTAAGCCTGGTAATATCCCCCGGTCGGCGAACACGCCTACGCGAAAAGATAAATCGCTCTCCCAAAACCCCCATTTCATTCCCGACCGTAACAATACAGTGTGTAAAGAAATTATTGGCAAAAAAATTGCATAGACTTAAATCGCATAACTTTCCCAAAAATAAGCCAATTTACGTAAACTTTTTTTTGTTTTAATTACGAAAACCTGCTTTTTTTATTTTTATTAAATGGTGTAATGTCTTTTAGAAGTCACTTATTAACAAAATATTAACAAAGTGACAAGTTTCGATTTAAAAAACCAGCGAGAAACTATATTACATTTTTGGAACATAAGCGTCTGCTCAGCCAAAGCGGACTATCTATAATAACTTAAAAAGTATAGATCACAAAAAAGGAGCAGGTTGACCAAAAAATCACTCCCATTGTTGCTGTAGTACATCAGTCAGAATATACACTGTGATTCCACAATTTAAATCCAATAGAAAATCTTTGGAATGTTGTTAAAAGAAACGCGAAAAAAGAATGCCACAAAATCAGCAAGATTTAAGTCGTTTTATGGTAGAGGCTATTCCAGAAAACATGTTAATTAATTTAGCACAATTGATAAAGTACAGATATGAGTTAGTTATTGAAAGCAATGGAGAAAGAATAGCATATTAAATTTTGCCAACAAATTTACTGCATTTTAACTGTCAAACGAGGTATTAATTATGTTGATTACTATGGTCATTGTTGCTCAGTGATTAAATATGTAATTGCCAATAATTTCTTTACACACTGTATAAATTTGATCACTTTCAAAGTCATTCTTGGCTGCTTGGATTAGAGTTAGCGGAAGTTGTTCGATTATATGCAAATGCAATATCATTAGACTTGATCATTTAGCAGTGTCGTGCCAACAACTGTGGGAGAGCAGTCAATTGTCGGCACTAGAAATTTAGCTACTTTCGCACGAAGCGTGGCTTTTCCTATTAATAGTTAAATCTCGGTTTACAGTTAGCGACCTTTTAACTAGGCTTTCCTACTTACAACTTCACTGCGTAGAGGAGTAGACACTAATCCTCGATAATTAAATTTCTCGAGTACAATCACGGTTCTCTATCGTGGGATCAAGTCGATAGTCTACCGGGTGGGGTACAATATGTTTTCAAATATAATTTCCAGCTGAAGTTACGTAAAAATTTGGCTATCAATATCCCTAATTGTTAACTAAGGATTGTTTTATGCTACTTAAATTTTACAAATAATTTCTCCAAACTATTAACTAACTGCTGGTTTGAATTAGAAACTTTTTAATGTCTCATTAGCGACGCACTATTGGTGTTGTACCTCAGTTGGGGACCTGTCTCAGTTCTGGACTGAGACAACTGGATGTGTCTGGGTTCTGGACTGAGACAACTGAGTTCTGGACTGAGACAGGTCCCCAACTGAGGTACAACAATGCTAGTAATTATTTTTCCGCAACAAATAACATTACGTGAATCATGTGAGTTGCACTTAGGGAAATAAATCTATTAGAACGGGACTCGCACGAAATAAAGAAATCGAAAGGAGTCGAATATTTTAACACTTGCAAACACACCGACTCTAGCTGAATCTACGCTGCTTTTATATCTTTCGAACGAACTAATTAATCTATTTTAGTAACGATTATTAATTATATTTTTATATCGGTATCGGTATACGCTACGCTTGCTGCACTACTACAGCGCTTATTTACTTCTGCAATTGTTATTTCTGCTGCACTAGATAGCAAATCATAGATTTGCCTAGAACCGACTTTTATTATACAAAAATAGGTTATGCAACTCGAATATTTAAAAATTAATCCGCATGTAACTTTGCATAAATTTCTACTCATTTAAAAGCACCAAAGAACCGCTATCAAATTATAAAAGATTGCCCGCTTCTTCGTTGAGAAATCGAATTTTGAATCTAGTGTACTATTCAGTGGGCAACTACCTCTAAATTACAGTGTGTTAGCTAGTAATGTAATCACGTGAATTGCATTCAGAGAAATACATCTGCTAGATAGCAATTGCAGAAAATGGAGGTGCATTTATTTAGCAGGCTCTTGCATTAGTATTAGTATATTGGCGATATTTATCCCGGATTATCAATGGCTTCCGAACAAGTCACGAATTACGCTTTGGGAAATGATTTTCCAAACTTTATAGCAGCAAACATAAATAGCGTCTCCTACCAAAAATTTTCCCCATCTCTTTAATCAAATGCATTCAACGCGGAAGCCTTCTCCTTTCAATCCCAAGAGACGGAAAATAGAGGAAAAAGTATCATCGGAGCCTTCAACCTCGTTTCATCCAAGTGAATTAATAAACGACCACTATACAGACAGCAACTTTGTATCCAACTTTCGTAACGCTTTTCAAACCAGGACTGACTTTGAATGTAGCACTACTAGTGCTAGACTTTATCCTACGCCATTCTGCGCTGGCTTGCTTCCAAATATACTTTCGTCTTCCTTCCTACACAACGCAAAGCAAGAAATAGTCACCGAATACTACACATTGAAATCTTCCGATTTGTTTGAATTTCATCAAAGCGATGATTTAAAGAAAACGAAAAAGCCACAGGTACAGAAATTGCGGGATGCACTATATTCGGATCATTTCGTGTCGATGATGTCTAATTTAACAGGAATAGAATTGAACAACACGCCCGACATATCAGCGCATATGTATTTTCAGGGACACTATTTGTTATGTCATGACGACGATATTGAAGATGACAAGGAAATGATGGGAAGAAGGGTTGCATTCATTATTTATCTGGTCGATGAATGGGATGAAAGTGACGGCGGAGCGCTGGAGTTGTTTAATATGTAAACGTGAACGTCTCTCTCTCTTTATCTTCTCCATTTGTTTGTTGTTGCATGACCACCTTTTCCAATCTCTTTTTGGATTTTAACACTTGTCCTTTACTACGTTTAAGCGACGACGGAGGTAACCCAGCCGAAGTCACGCGCTCAATATTACCAAAATATAATACGATGGCCTTTTTTGAAGTTACGCCGACGTCATTTCATCATGTAGCAGAAGTCCTGTCGCCAACAAAAGTCAGGTTATCGATATCCGGCTGGTTTCACGGATCTTTAAGAACGCGACTATCGCTTGCGGTATACCGCCCAATTACGCCAAAGGTGTCGGAAATAACCGAATATGTCAATTCGCGCTGTTTAACGGATGAATTCATGCAGCGAGCTAGAAAAAGGCTACATAAGAATTATTTCCTAGAAATAAAGGATTTTTTAAAGGCTGATGTGTATGACAAACTCTTGGAAAGTTTAGACCACGTCGAATGGTCAGAGAAGCCAGTAGGTCCTGCCAACGTCCGCAAATATCATCTCCCAAAGTCAAACCCCGTCGACAACCTTTCCGTCGATTCGACCTCCCTCCCATTGCACAGCGCCATTCAATTATTCTTCACTTCCAGCACATTCACCGAATACCTGTACAATATCTCTCATTGGCGATTTCACTCTGTCGCATCAGAAACTCGTTGTTTCTATCGCAACAACTATACAGTCATACACGACAATGGATGGGATAGAGAGGGTCTCGATGTAGTGTTCTCTTGCATTCGCGACAAATGGGATGAATCGTGGAATGGATCTACTATTTACGTCGATACCGAAGCAGAACCTGATGAAGAGGGTATCGAAAAAGTATATGAAATGTGGCCAGAACGGAACATGCTAACTTTAGTCTTGAGGCCGAAAATGACTCATAGGTTTGTCAAACACTTAAAGTGTGATGATGGGAATGTAAGACAAGAGATGAGTTTTATTTTCTTGGAGGAAAAGAAGGAAGGGGAGGAAGATGAGGAAGATGAGGAAGATGAGGAAGATGGTAGCAGTGAGGATGAACGTGAGGAAGATTTTTTGGAAAACAGCAGTTTTTAAAAACTAAGAAATTTGAAATGTTAATCACTTTTTCTCATTAAGCGTGAGATTGACTGTCAGATTTAGAGATACTGCTAATATATTGTAATAAAAACCATAATTGTTGGTAGTATTGAATGATGGTGGCTTACAATTTTATTGGCCAAAACAATATCACGTGTAACAACAATGGTTATGTGTGCGCCGATCAACTTTCCAACCCCAGGCGTCAGTCATTTGTTTTGTTATTACCGTATTATTCATAACAATTACTTGTCGGTCGACCTGAAGCTTCTCCGACAAACAAGTAACGATGAGTCTTGCTGCACCGGTCAGCGAACATCCACCGCAAGTCTATGATCCTGAGGAGGTGAATGAAAACGCGCTCGAGTTTTTTCCTAACGACTTGCCATGTAATATTTGCACGAGTATCCATGACATTTCATATTCCAACTCCGCTATAATTTATTATACCAGCTAGAGATGCTCAAGCGAGCAATTGAGCTCTCTCTCCAGAAGAGTCCAGATACGCAAAGGAAATGGATATCAGCAAAGGATATGTACTAGTGCGTATATCAAGCTCACCCTACCTAATAAACCCAGTGGTAGTAAACTCGACAACTGACACACACACATTTCTATTGCTTTATCCTAAAAAAACTCTAGCTACGTCGTATTACCATGCATCGTAATAACGGTGGTTTACTTATTCCTTACAACGGTAATAGTTCCCGACTTTGTTGAGCGTGTTGACTCCAAGATGTTGGAAATGTCGAGAATGAGGTCGACGTGTTGGACAATGTATCTGGAACTCCAATGTTCGTTCCGCATGTTGAACATGACAAAGGCATTGGATGAGATATGTGAAGAGTACTCTCGATGCAGTGTTGGAATAGGGCTATTTGTAAATAGGTAGATAATAGACGAATGAGCGAACGTGAAGGTTGTAATGTTGGTGAAATGCAATTGCTTATTTGTTGTATTTTCTTTTCTTTTTTTTCTTCCTGAAGAATTGGTATTGCCGGAGCAATGATAAGACAGTTCTTTGTGGGGCTGGGATTGTCTTTTGACGATATGTCTTATTTGAATATTGGCAAAATCTTATTCATATTGGTAAGTGAAAAAATGGCTGATTGTAGAATTTCGAGTAAATATGATAATTAACGCGATCAACCTTCTTTAAATAGGGTTCGTTAGTCGTTATCAAAACGATAGCACGGACTTTAAGCACTCTTGCTTTCCGACGCAATCAAGAACAAGGGTCAAGTAAATTAATCAGATCGAAGTCGTCCTGATGATGATGTACAGTAAATAAATATATATACATATACACCATTATTATTTTATATAACGAATACAGGTGATTTATTATTAGAAATGAATCCTGCTTGTTTGCTGTTTTTAATGGTACTATTTGCAATGCTTATACGATAGAGAAAACGATGTATTATTAACAAACCAATAAAACTTTGTGAATAATGTTGACCATTTTCCGTCAGTCAATCGGTCTCATTCTTGATTGGTTGTTTCTTGTAGTGAAGCTTTTCTTATGCTACTATGATTGTTTGATTAATCTTGCAGGACAATCAAGACTGTGGAGCATCATTTCATGTAAAAGCCTTTTATGCATTAAGATACATTCTTTGTTTCAGCATGCAATAACTGAACCACCAATGGAAATAGGGTAAAGTGTTTAAATAGAGTTCTGACATTGTGCAAATAAAAATAAATGTGGGTCTTATGGCACAATCATGTGAGGTACCTCTGGTACTGATGAATTTGTCGTGGTACAGCTATAATAATAATTGTCTCATCACAACAGAATAGATCATTTACTTATCATGGCAGTGCAGGGGTAGTGTTTACCACCCTTGATGCGCTATCCATGAATCAGCAGATTTGCATAAGTTCCTTAGCCAAACTTAACAAGTCATCATCTGATCCAAGCTGCATATAGATGGGTGATTAGCATCATTTTCAATTTCAGCAAAAATGGGTGACAATTTTAAGGTGGTTGGTTCTGCATATTGATTGTCATATTTGCTATTTTTAATAGAGAAGAGAATGTACAAATAAAATGTTCATCAACTATATATTGATCTCCATCTGCTAACAGTGCAGGTATGATAAAATCAATACCCTTCTGATTTTATTTGTACATTATTACAGTACCATGAAGTAAAAACTGAAGTAGATCTGCCTTTGATGGGGTATATGTAATATATGCAAAGCTCATAAAGAGAATTTTCGTTGAAGGACCACCAACCCAGCACTCTGTAATAAATGGCCATCAAAGACATCGCTGGCTGTCTATTTCACTCCGTCCTTCTAGTTATAGAGAAGATGACAATCCGTCTTGTAAATATTTAAACTAGAATGTAATATAGATAGATTTATGCCCTAAAATATGTACTTTTATTTTATTTTATTTATATGTTATGCTTTCCATGTAATATGTACTGACACCACATGGTGGCAGCTAAGTCTTTATTATTATAGGTAGTAGAAGCACAGAAAAGTAGGGGTCACCCCATGTGTGCCTAATAAAGACCCTCAAAACCTCATAAAGAGAATTTTTGCATTAGCTAAGTTTTTGACATCAATTTGGCTAAAAATATGACCACTGGACAGCCCATCTCAATCATCTTCCACTTCTTGTTCTTGTTTCTGTTGCATCACAAATTGAACCAAGTCAATGCCAAAGAGTGCATTTATGAATTCAGCAATAGTGACAGGGGATGAATGTTGGTTGGCAATGGTCCTATGATTGTGAATGCATGCACAAACATCCCAAGTTTTTATCATACTGCAAGCTCTCCTTGATAGCCAGCCTCCACATACCACTGCATATAGCCTTCAAAAGATGACAAAGTAATACATACATAGGAATAATTGCATAAGTCTAGCAGGGACTGGCCATTTGGTCTTGATGTCTGGGGAGATGGCACATCTGCATTCACTGAGATAGGAAGAGGAGCTGCCTCTGCCAGAATTGGTTCCACTGAATAACTGCTGATCATCTTTTAATAAAGTCGTGGGGATCATAGTAAGTTCCAAAGAACACTGCATCCATGGATGCCTTTGATGACTCCATGGGGAATTTTGATGTAATATTGAATCTTCTAAACAAATTGAAAAAAAAAAAAGCAAGATTGATGGCAAGTTGACATGCACAAAAAAGAAGTACTAGTTAGTCAACGTGTAAATAGCATATGAAAACTGCTCAAATGGATGGATAAAAATAGATATATGGTGATATAATAACATTTATTATGCTCTATTCTATACACTCCCAACGCGCGTGTTGTAATATATTCCATCTATTCTCCCCCCATGACTACGTGTATTCCGCGAACCCCGTTACTCCTCTATAACCATAATGTCCCTTGTCTCCTCCGGTTCACGAGCTTATGTATATTATAACCCAACTCTGCTTGATTCAGCTCTGCTTCACCTAATGACACCCCCAACTGCCTCTCTTGCAATAAGCATTGATTACTTTCTATCTTCTCAACAAACGTGTATTCATTGCTTGCTTACCTCGTTGTTCCTCGTATGCGTTGATGATATCATCAACTGTGGCTTTTCTGTTCTTCTTTAAAACCTGACCAAAAAACCAATCAGGAACGTCATCTGTGGTAAGTGGCATGTCAGTTGCGTTTATATCTGCTGCGCTCTGTTGCACATCAAATCAGATTGTCCGACTGCTGCCCCTGTGTCGGATTTCTAGTACTTGGGGCACAGCGAACTAAAATTATCGCTATACAGCATACAAAGAATATGACGTTCACGCAGTTAGTAAGGAGATTTTTCTCTCTATCCAGTAGAAAGGTTAATTGTAGGTATATTACTGTGAGTGAAGAGAGCAAAAAGTTGTACCAGGTGATGAAGAAAATAACGATAACCAAGTATCCATTAACTAATTCCATCACTCATATACAATACTGTACATGCAAATCATAAAATTATTATATTTAGCGTAATTATCCAAGAACCAGAAGATTTAAATGAATTAGTTTTTTATTATTATTATTATAGATAATAAATAGACAGTAGACCTAATTAAATACTTACAATGTTTTGCGGAATATTATCCCATTCTGCAAGTGTTTACATCAAGATTATTAGAGGGCTTGTTTATAATAGTCAAGACATTGTTAGGGCTGTCACTTCTTCAGGAAGGTGTTTTTTATGATTTTTAATTTTATCAAAACTTCTGTAACGATGACACTATTGATTAAATGCGAGTATAATATTTGACATTTAATTAACATGATGTTGACATTCACATCCTTAACAGTAGACTTGTGCCCAGTCTTTTTTAACGCAATTTCTGTGCGCTGTCGTATTAGTATTGCAACTTTGTTCACACTTTTGTTTATCTGTTGTGTCATGGCACACTTGTAACCACTCGTTACACTTTCATTGCATAACGTTTGACTTTACAGTGCAGAGACTTTTTTTGGAGTTTTTCATTTATTATACAGATTACCTAATATATAATTGAATTCGCATGATCTGATTTTGCGTCCAAGATGCGTTACTCCAAAATTACGACAAGTAATTCGGGAGCACTCGTTATAATTGCGCTTATTGCGACTTGTCTGATTTATATAATATTTCTCTACGTGTTCAGACAGACGAGATATGTCGAAACCTCATGTTTGGCTTTATGGAAAGTTATGAACATAAACAAATACGCAAATGCCGCCTTAAATAGTCGAGATAATGGAATGGCAACGTTTGTTTGCAAAATTGGCACATCTCTTTTCCAAATATATTTAGCGTCATGCTATGTATGAGGGCATGCCTTTGTCTTTATAATTTCCATATTAGCACCATACGATAGACATTTATATTGCTCGTGATACAAACAAATTGTAATCAGTATTGTTCATATGTACAAAAATGGTAACGATGTCGCCTGACACTAATACCAACTATAGTTGCTAATACCAAGTCATAAATATGTATTAATGGTTATAGTGATAAACTATTATTCCGAGAACATCATATTCGGACAGAATCGTCGCGAGATCTTCTAATAGCCATTTTTACATTTTAAAGGAAAAGGGCTGACAATCCCACCATTTCTCACATTTATCGGTATAAGATGTCAATAATGGGCATATTAATATTTGTATGCATGGTGTATAAGTAATTGTTTCGTTTGTAGTTACTTGTGACGCTAATGACAAGTGAGAAGCAACACCCAAACAGGGACAACTCGTGTTACTTAATTCCAAGTATGACAATCTAAGAACCAACCTTACAATAGTTTCGAACGGCGAAAAAAAAAAAAAATCGGCATCTTAAACAATTAATTGAAGGGAGCAATACAATATATCAAAAAATGAATCTCACACCCAAATGAGCAACATCCAGACAGGGATTATGACTAAACTACCATTGCATATCCTGCGCTCGAACGATAATGCGAGAACCAAAAAACCCTCCTCCGTGCGTAGAGTGACGAGTGCCAACTCGTTCCACGCGTCTCTCAATGTTATCTCGTCGATGCCGTGGCCTGGGTGTGTCTGTCTTTAATCTATCTTGGGAAGAACTAGGACTATTTTTATTGCACTGCATGAAACGCGCTGCATAGGACGAGCATGAATTGGCGAAACGAATGGGAATTACACCCTGGTGATCTTTAGAGATGAACAGATAGACCTGCCATACTTGGTCGGGCCTTTGACCGCATCGTCAGAGATGAGTGGATACAACATACTGAAAATATGCTTATTCTTACTTTCCCACGTTCTTTATGCTGCTACTATTGGAACTTCTGAGTAAAATGGTTCATTCTATCGGTACCAAAAAATAAAAGTCATTGGTAGACTTTGGTGTGTGAATGGTAAACTTATATCTCGATGTTTAGCATCGGTTGCGTAGAAATCGCGCAAAATCGTTGTTTGATGTCAATCGCTCAGTCGACGAGGGTATGCGAATTGGCGTAAAAAAGTGTGGGAACTTGTTGCATACAGATCGCATTCGGGGGGGGGGGGATGCATGATTTTCACCTGATTCAGTCAAGAGGTTAAGAAACATTATTAATTAACAAATTTGCTTGCTATACGTTAAAGGTAACGGTAGCGTAGGTGCCACGTTTTTTAGGCAGCATAGTCCTGGGACGACTTTTATCACTAGTTTGAATCCACTTCATTCTCAGTAGCGCGTCATATTTAATAGCAGCAAGACGTAGATTTTTGCGTGTTGTAATAATAAGATCAATGTAACAATATGTATATGAATATCTTTATGCTCATGTAGATAATAATGTTGTATGTAACCTACTAATTCTCCCGTTTAAACAATAAAGCAGTATGGACAAAAGCGGGCACACTTTAAGAGCTCAAACAGGCAATCGGTGGCTTCATTTGATAGAACTACTGACATGACCGATTTTCTTTCGAAAATTTGTTAAAGAACTACGTGCTAAAAAAAGAAGACTATAGAATTTTTTTTTACTATAAACTGAAAAGGAATTCATCTCGTTTTTAAAACGTGCTATGCCAAGAGGTATGATGAGGAGAGAACTTGAAAATCATTTTCCACAGAATTCGCACAAGGCTTAAGAACGCTCTCCGCGGAGACGACGAGCAAGTTGGATGTCTTTGGGCTGAATTGTAACACGCTTGGCTATTAATGCCATCGGAAAGGTAAAGATTATGATAGAACATTGACATTAGATGGATTAATAATCGTAGTGAAATGTATATAGAGATTGATATGATTGAATATACACATACCATGAATAGCAGCAAGATTTGTATCTTCGAATAGAGAGACCAAGTATGCCTCGGCAGCCTATAAACATAATTGACGTTAGGATAATGACAACAACAAGAGCAATGAAATACCAAGCAAGCACACGTTCGAGATGGCCCTCTCTCCCTTTTCTGCAAGTCTCTTCTACTCTGTACATAAGACGTTGTTGTTTCTTACCTCTTGCAAGGCACCAATAGCGCTAGACTGGAAACGTAAATCAGTTTTGAAATCCTGAGCGATTTCACGGACGAGACGTTGGAAGGGCAGCTTGCGAATCAAAAGTTCTGTGCTCTTCTGGTAACGACGGATTTCACGCAGAGCAACAGTACCGGGTCTGTAACGATGAGGTTTCTTGACTCCACCAGTGGTAGGTGCGGACTTGCGCGCGGCCTTTGTGGCGAGTTGTTTCCTGGGGGCTTTTCCACCAGTACTCTTACGGGCTGTTTGCTATGAATAGAAAAAGAGCAAAGGATGAATGAGTCGTATGCTTTAAAATAAAAGGCATTCTAGGCGTGTCTCTTTGGTCGTAATGCTTTGAAACTATTACAACGGTTGTCGTAGCCACGCGGTATACATAGCTAGCTCTCAAAGGTAATAATAATATGTATCTCTTTGGGGTGTGGTGGGGGCTATTATACTATCCTATCAAGTATATTCTCTATTGTATAAGTATTGTATAGACAGCGAGATGAATACCTTGGTACGGGCCATGAGTGTTTATTTGAAGAGGTAGTAGAGGTAAAAGGAGGATTAAAGATACTGTTTAATATATATATATACTAAGAGACAGTAGTAGTATATAGGAAAAGGTTGTGTGCGAGAGAGAATAAACGACGAGAGGGAAGGGGGAAGAAGGAAAGTACGATAAACAAATTGGTGGAAATCGGGTCTATTTGTATAAAAAATCTAGTAAATAAAATTTCTGGTTTTTGGGGGTGGAAAAAGGATGGAGCTGGGTATATGTGAGAAATGCAAAAATGAGGTGGATCACAAAATCTGAAATTTTTTATGTAATTGGAAAAATGAAAAAATGGCTTTTTTTTAGACATAGCGCATAGCTTATGATGACGATGGTGGATGGGATGATTGTGATTAGCAAAGTAACGTAAAGTGTTTGATTCCTATTGTGCGCAATTGGTAGGAAAGTCTATTGGTAGACGAATGGATGGCATTGGAATTTATTAATTGCTGTTGTTGTAGTTGTAATTATGTAAGTGTCTTAGTGAGCGATCCGCAAGAGAGACGAGAATTGTGACACGTGATGAATGAGTTTGGCGTGATTAATGCAAGTATATTACTATAATATAGTTTGATTTACTAATTGTTCATACTACAGCGCCATTTGCCTCAATTGGTTTAAGGCATATTGATATATCTCTTTGAATATTCGCTGCGGGACTCTCACCTGTTATCCCGCTTCCTGGGTCACATCTTGCCCAAACCACCTCCTGTCTTCCAATGATGTTTACTTAACTTTATCGTTACAAAGTGGAATGTCATTTTCCCTTATTAAGACGTGTATTTAGTGTTTGTGTTGCGGGAGATATGATTATGTCAATACTACGTGTGACGACGAATAAAATGCTACGTTTGGTCTAACTTCCACACGGTTTCAGTAGGACAGTAAATAAAGCATTGTAAGTCACTAGTCCTTTACAAGTAAACATGTTAGGAAATAACAGGTAAGCATGTTAAATAAGTAGTAATAGTCGTATTAGTTGTATGCATATGCATGCCAAAATTGGACCAAAGTAAACGCCACATAAATTTCAGGGGTCGAAATTTCTATATTAGTAGCAGTATATAAGCTGGAAGTGCAATTAACTTCCAACACTTTATCGGGAAATTGAATTACAGGACAAAGTTTCAAAAAGGGCAACTTATTCATGGTATAATTAATCCGTCCCAGATCGACAATTAATTTGGAACAACATTGATATTCAATGCTAAAGATGTTGCATGCAAATTCTTTCTATTGTTTCATTTACTTTTTTAGAAAGAGTGGGACGCACATTCGTTGATGAAAAAATGCACGCGGTTTTACGAGTGAGTATAAAAGATCGGGTTAACTATAAACTCTTTGTTTATTCAAGAATGCGTATATAGTAAAAGTATGGCTTTTTTGTATTAACACAATCTACGTGTAAAGTTTAATGTTGCGATATATTAATAAACGTTTGTTTCACTGATCATGTGACAGTAATCTTTGTCATAACAAGATCATTAATACTCAAAGCGTAAAGGGCGGATAAGTTACTTGATCCCGTACAGACAGGCGAGTTTATTTTGATAGCGTTGACGTGAGGACTTTGAGTATGCGTCGATCAAGTCTTTGAGACAGCTACAAAGCAGTGTTGAGGCGCAAGACAATATCTTTGAGAATTTGACGACCTTCTGGGACGCGAAATCCGATAATGGATTTTAAAGGTAATCGAGAATATTACTAATACCAAAATTTATCTGCCTGAATCTCATGCTCGAAATTAGAAAGAAACCCCAAATCACTGAAGTGTTATAACTTTCATGACATACAAAGATTGGCTTTATTATGATACTATTATGGATTGGATTTACTAACGAGTAAAGGCGGGAGGGGTAGTTGTAAAATTTCGATGCAGCAAAGCCTGACAAACGTTTCTCTTGGTGTTGTTCTAAATGCAGTTGCACGTAATCTCTAAATAGCACTCAGTCTTTCATATCACATTATTGAGCTCTTCAACATTTGGTACCGGATTGAGTTTACGCTATTCTCATTCCGAGCAAGCAAAGAGTTGATAGCCACAGTTTTATTATAAAATTTGAAAATGTAAATGCACCAAATTGATTGCATAACTTGCATAATGAGTACAATCCATTCTCTTTTGCTTACTGTGTTTTCTTTGCTATTGAAAACTAATATTAATTATGACGTATATTCCTCCCTAATTTCTGCATAACTCCGGCAGTACCACAATCACGCATTGTCATTTAGTATCCAAAAGTGACAAACAGCACAATAACAATAATAGTAATACAATCAACCATACGCACTGGCAAAATCAAGCATGTAACAGTGCGAGTTTTTCATTTAGCTCTGTGTGTGTTCGGTTCCTTATTAACGGGTAGTTCTTTATACTCTGAACTATAATTATTAATGATGCGTTTCCTGGTAAATTATCGGTATAGTTGCTAATCCCTTATCGATTAGGGATATTTGCTTCTTGTCTCTCGTGGCATTACGATTGCTATTTGCTTATGACGTTTGAGTATACCCCGACCTACCATCGGAGGATTTAACTCGAGGACGAATAACTGTTGTCTACCGCGATCGACACAAGGTCGTGAGTAGTTTAAAGGTCACTAACTGTTAATATATCTAGGAGAAGCCACAGCTCCGTTCGAAAGATAGTTAAATCCCAATTAACCATGTGCTTTTAGCGGGTGACTTGTTGATTTCGCTGTTAAATTCAATCGCTGAAGTTATTTTATCCAGAAAATTGTACTCATGTGACGTACGTCACACAATTGCTAGTTTATTTTGGGCGCTGTGTTTATCGTTATAATTCACCTCTTGCTTCTTCGGTATATTATTATGTCTTCACTCGAAAAATTTTGTTGCGCAGAAAGCAAGCCGCCAGGTAGTGCGCCGTTATGGTTCATACCTGACAAGCAGTCTCGCGAGCTACTTCAGCAGCACAGAGAAAGGATTACAGTATGTATTGAGTAGTGCATGGAACTGCCATGGCACCCGCAGTAAACCCGCAGTAATTTTCTTACCGCTATTTTTGTGTAGGCGAAGACAGAATGGGAGACGGTGCGGGAGTTGCTCGAGAAGGAGTTGAACCGTTTCCCATGTCGTGTAGGGAGCAGGGAGCTAGAAGATGTGGTAAGTTTTTGGGGACATGTGGTGAGTTTAGAAAAGTCAAATAATGTCTATGAAATGCGCATACTAATTATCGTAATCGTTCACAAAGACCCGCAACCCTTTATTTCAAAACCTGGTTTCGGGTCATATACTTTCAGTCAGCGCCATTAAGAAATATACGGCAGATTTTAATGAAGGCATTGAGAAATGCAAGCGCAAGAAGGATAGTGAAAGCATGAAGCTGGTAATTATTGGTGTTGATTGTATTAGTCTTTGTGTTCTTACGCCGGGCGCCGTTGCGCTAGCTTTGTTACGGGCAATGCCTTGTGTATCTCGTCGACAAAACGTCGGATATGGAGCCTCTAGAATCCAACATAGTGTAGTAATATTTATGATTGCCATGCTTACATCTTCATTAGTCTGAGCGTTGGCTATTATTTGAGTGCTCCTTGCCATTTAAGCCAATAATTAATTATTTATTTGACTTCATAGAACGTTCGAAAACTGTCTTACGAGGACGTCTTGGATAAAGAGCAGCGCCGAGTAAGTGTTGTGTGATTTTCTGCAAAATCTATTGTTATTGACTGACTGAATAGAAATTGTTTTTAGCGTCAGAAACTTGAAAGTACAAAAAGTAGGGCTATGATTTCATTCATACTATCATCCACAGCACGACGACGGATCTCGACGAAGATTATGCCCTCTGGTGGAATCAAAAATTCTACCCGTTTATAGAGGTTGTTTTAAATTAACGCCTGTTTATAGAGGTTGTTTTAAATTGATTCCTGTTTATAGAGGTTGTTTTAAATTAATTCCTGTTTATAGAGGTTTTAAATTAACGCCTGTTTATAGAGGTTGTTTTAAATTAATGCCTGTTTATAGAGGTTGTTTTAAATTAATGCCTGTTTATAGAGGTTGTTTTAAATTAACGCCTGTTTATAGAGGTTGTTTTAAATTAATTCCTGTTGATAGAAATTGATTCCTGTTTATAGAGGTTGTTTTAAATTAATGCCTGTTTATAGAGGTTGTTTTAAATTAATTCCTGTTTATAGAGGTTGTTTTAAATTAATCCTGTTGATAGAGGTTGTTTTAAATTGATTCCGGCCTCCATTAAAGAGGTGGATTCAACAGTATTGTATCGAGCATAAAGATGTGGAGAAAAAATCTTAGCAAACTGTATAAGTAAACCATACTGGAATTTATTTGTTGGTTTATGCAACTTGATTCTAACATGAAAATTTTCTAGTGAGCGATGAGGAATGGGATGAAGAGAGAGGGGGTGAGGAGGGTGAGGATGCCATTGAGATTGAAGATGGAGAAGATGAAACAGTTGTAGATAATGGAGTGGAATTGCTGTTTGGAGAATTTTCGAGATTTGGGGCCACATCGCCAAAGCATAATAGGGATTGGAAAAAAACTGCTCCGCTCATGCAAAGACGGCTATAAAAGGCTTTATAGAGTGATCCTTGGAGGGCGATAGTGCTGCGAAGGCGGTAAGGGAATCCTTGCTTGCAGTGCCTATGATAGGGCTATTGGTTATAATGGCGTGTCAGTTCTGGACTCCTTCGGCGGCGCCGTTATATTTACAAACAAAATGTCCGAAAATTATTTTTATCGTAATCGCTCACAAAGACCCGCAACCCTTTATTTCATCGGGTCTTATACTTTCGGTCAGCGGAAGCCTTTCATTGGACAAAGCCATTAAGAAATATACGGCAGATTTTAATGAAGGCATTGCTCAATCGTCCGTCAACGTCCTCACTACCGTCCGCCCTATAATATAATGCTACACGGCGCAACCGTTCTTACCGTCCTTTGAAGAAGTAGCAGACGAAGTAGTCAGACTAAAGACTAGCAGCGATGGTCTACCTCTCAAAGTAAACAGAGCATCGACACCAGAAAATAGATCCGTAATTGATTTGGAAACAACAGATACCCCTTTAGTATTAGGCAAGCAGCAACGGCGCCGGTAATCTCGACTCCATAGCAATTAATTCATGTATCAAATATTGTATATCTAAACAATAATAATAAAGAATACTGATAATATTACAATCAAATTTTCAACATTAGCCTAATTCATAGATGCGCGATGGATATAAAAGTATATACAAAAAATTAATTTGGGTGACAAGTTTTGGCAAAGGGATAGGCGTGCCATAGGAAGAACGTGATGGAGAATCTGGCAGGGTAGTTAGAAGCAATTACCGTTAAAACTTTGGAAATACGATGCTAAAGAAAGGTGTTAAATGATTAGTGACGATTTGCATCAAAGGTAAAAACAGCTACCCCACCTGACTATGCAACCTATCTAGCGAAAAGCATGTGTAATGTGCGATTGGCTCGGATCTTTTAAAACGACACTGTCCCTTTCTCTTTCCCCGCAATCCATTGATTGATTGTGAGGATGATGCGGTTTTCTTCTTTTCTTTGACCATACACAGTTAGTTCAATACGGTTTCTCTTTCGATTGTCTGTTATCTTAATTTAATGTACAACTATTCTTAATTACTTACTTTAATACTATAAAACGCTTCCAAAACTGGCACCAGGCCTACAATTTTTCCCGTTCTTTTGGGACAGATACATCTGCAACCAAGATCATCCTGTATACTTCGTCATAATTTAAATCCATCTCGTAGATGCGAATATGCTCACCTATGAATGCAATTAAAGTCGGTCGAAAGAGATCATGTTTCCATATTTTTTGAGTAGATCTTTTTTGACCAATACGGAGGATCGGTGGTATATGCGCAGTAAAGACAATATATCATGTGATCAACGCGTCTACTCTCAGGATGGAGGCGACTTTATTGATCCTCAACTTGTATTATGTCGAAAACCCTTATTACCATATTATACCGACATTAAACTCAACCTCCAACTGCCCGCCTAGTGGCGGTTTTATCGCTAAAGATGAGACCACGTCCCATCACCATCATCCGCGGCAACAAAATTGCTCGACTCGAACCCGAAGTTGAGCAGATAAAGACAACGTCCGCGGATATACAGCAAACTAAGCCGAACATGCTGCACAACACACAGGTTATAATATGTGTGTTGTGCAAATATGTAGTGGAGCACCTTTCAAGCATAAATGGTGATCTGTGATTAAGGCACTTCTTCACTCATAAGTACTTTGCTCTGTCTTTCCCTTTCCCTAACATATGTTATATTATTTATTGATTTTGTAAAAGGTTCGTCAAGGCATTACAAACAGTAGTCATCAAAGTCATCCAAACCATCAAAGATATCCATGTCCTCCTTCATTCAATCCTTCAGTATCAGACACAAGATTGTTGAGAGAAATTTTAGGTACATATCATAGAGAATCTCAGAATGGATCAAAGTTATCGATTCTTATATACTTATATCATATGGGGCATGCTGCAGACAAAGTGAACATTCTATTATGTGACATAAATGAGAGGCTGATTATGATGTGGCTGTAAAATTAACCAATGTGCACTGATGATGTTTTGAAAAGTAATAATGGTGCTCATTCATAACTTATGGACTTGTTATTTTAATGTTCACTTTATCATACCAGAATGTGATGAATATAAACCATAATGTGATTAATATAAGACTACCTTCATATAAAAAAATATAATGAATCATTAACAATGTATTTCAGAGTATAAAGAACTACTCATTTATTTACAATAAAGGAATCGAGAGTAATTAG